GGCAGAGGTTGTTGTGATTGATAGGACACCGTTGAGTTTGGGTATAGAGACGGTTGGTGGTGTTATGACAAAGGTGATCCCGAGAAACACAGTGAAACCAACGAAGATGTCGAAGATTTTTACTACTTATCAGGACAAACAAGACACGGTCTCAATTAAGGTATGAGACGAGAGAGAGAGAGAGAAAAAAAAACATAAACTACGTACATTTGTGATGTTTGAACTTACGGGACTTACAACATGTTTCTGATCAAATTACAGGTTTACGAAGGCGAAAGGGCTTTAACGAAAGATTGTCATGAGCTCGGGAGCTTTGAGCTAAAAGGCATTCCACCTGCTCCAAGGTAAAAAGAAAAAAAAAAAATAATAAATAGCTATGGAAAAAATTCGTGTACCTTTTGCAGTCTAATCTCACAGGCATTTCATTTTTTATTTTTTTTTGCAATTATTACTCAGTATTTATTTATTTATTTATTTAGGAAATAATCTCGCCAGAGAAAATTAATTGGATTATATATATAACAAAAAATTATTTTATGAATAAGCACCCTAAATAAATATTTTATTTTATGGCTACTAAATGAACGACAAATGTGTCATAACGGACGATGAAGTTGGGGAAAAGGTCCAAAAAAAAAAACACAAGTGAAACAGAGTACTTACAAATATTTAGATAATGAGTTTCGAATTCTGATATTCGTGTTTTAATTATTGCAGGGGAGTGCCTCAAATAGAAGTGACGTTTGAGGTGGATGTGAACGGCATTCTCCAAGTGACTGCACAAGACAAGGCGGGCAAGAAGTCCAAGTCCATAACCATCACCAACGACAAAGGGCGTTTGACCGAACAAGAGATTGAGGACATGATACGTGAGGCTGAGGAGTTTGCCGAGGAGGACAAAAACGTTAGGGAGAAGATCGAGGCTAAGAACAAGCTCGAGACCTACATTTTCAACATGAGGAACACGATCCAGGACAAGTTTGCGGACAGTGTAGAGCACGAGGACCAGGAGAAAATCGAGAGCGCATTAAGAGACGCGAATGAGTGGCTGGACGAGAACCCGAGCGCTGAGAAGGATGAGTTTGATGAGAAGATGAAGGAGTTAGAGGATTTGTGCAATCCGATTGTGAGAAGGGCGTATGAGAAGAGTGGTGGGGCCCGGGGCAGTGATGGTGAAGACGAGGAATCGCATGATGAGTTATAGATTATATGGTGGCAATTTTTTATTTTTTCTTTTTTCTTTTTTCTTTTTTTTCCCTTTTGGGCAGCAAATGTGTTGGTTGTTACAGGTTATATTATGAATTAATGGAGTTTGACAATTGTTTTGAATCTCGAGTTATAATAGCTTTTAAGCTTGGTTAATTTGATTATTTGAATCATTTTGTTCGAGTATTGCGTGAATTTCATTTTCGTCTGCGTGACTCAATTAGTTACTAAATGAAATAACATTGTAGACCGTTTAGCTTCAGCACTAAAGTAAGTTTGTTAACACTTCTGATGGCTGTTTCCAAATCTCAAGCTTAATCATAGACAGATATTTCACATTAGTTTGTTAAATTGTAGCATGTCAAAGTTTCAAGTGATTCAAAAGTTTTTGTCGAGGAGAAATCTGGTATCGAATTCAATATTGAACAAGATTAATTTACTCAAAGGTCTTTCCCAATATGAAAATCTAAATAAAGAATAATCAAAGCCTGTTATTTATAACTTATTTGCCCATCATGCATAAAATCTTTGATGTGCCTAAACTAAAAAAACAAGACGGCGTAATCACTGCACGAGCATTTGTAGGATTTAAATACTGCGTGCCATAAAAAATATGAAAATAAAGGCACCATATATAAAGTTCAGATCCATTCAAGACACAAAAACCAGAACATAAATTTTGCCGTGTCTTACAAAAACCAGAACTGAAACTTTGTCTTGAATGACTGCCAAAAAAAAAAGCAAAAAAAAGAAAAAGAAAGAAAGAAACAAATCATAAATGATAAAACCTACCAAATTGCTCTTTAAGACAGCAACCATTAGGCCTTGACCCGACCATAGAACTTTTGCTTCTCCTCGGTTGTCTGGAACCGCCCATGTCCAAACTTGGAAGAAGTGTCGATGAACTTGAGCTTAATTTCCTCAAGGGCAACACGTGAAGTCTGGTTCAGTAGAGTTTGCCTAAGCGTAACAACTCTTTTCTTAGGTCCCACACAGCAGCCCTTTATCATGATGTAATCATCCTTCACAACACCATAGTGAGGAAATCCACCCATAGGTGTGATATCCTTTTCAGTCCTGCATTAGTTCAATGTCACAACAGGTTAGTTGTCAAGATTCAGAAACATCTTATATTGCATTCAATAGCTGAAACACTTTTACTCGTAGGAATTCAGCAAAAATCAAAAGAACATTCCGAAGGCATTAAGCAATATTTTCTTCGAGGCATATCAAGCCAATCAGGATAATTACGGAAAACTTTAAGAGCTTTAATTTTTCCATTTGAACAAATATAAAGTCCTATATTCACAAATACCCTTCTCAAGTGGACTTTTTAAAGTTGCAATTATAATCAATGTATATGTATGTGATTTCCAGGGATAGTGTGTCTGAAATTATCCCAGAGGAAATAATTTTTAGTATGGCTCTGGGCCAGCCTCAATTTAGTAATCAATGCGTAACACAAGATTACTCTAGCAAAGGTATATTGAAAAAAAAAAAAAAAGTTCACCATGACTCAATGCTAAAATTGAGACATTCGGTCAGAACTCAGAAGTATACTTCTGTAAAAGGGAAAAAAAATAAACAGAAACCATTGTGTACAGCATATATGCTTAAAAAACACTGGAAACGAGGTGTACAGGAATGTTACCTATCAAACTCCGTACTGGCAGTATGTTCCTCTTTCCCAGCCTTGCCAAGCCTGTAAATCTTCTTGTTCACTTCAGTTCTGTGATGGTACCCATTCTGACCAGCCCTAGCAACGGTGAAGGAAACTCTAGCCGGATGCCAAGCACCAATACAAGCAACCTTACGAAGACCCCTGTGAGTCTTACGAGGAAGACGAGTCACGCCCCAACGAGTTACAACACCCTCATAACCCTTACCCTTTGTTACACCAATTATGTCAATCATCTCATCTTTCTGGAACACAGCATCAATGGGGACCTGTTTCTCAAAGAACCCGTACGCAAAGTCAACCTTCTGAGCAATAGTTCCGCCATTCACTTGAATCTCCATCAGGTGAGCCTTCTTCTGCTTCAGACCCTTCATCTTCCGTATCTGAAACAAGAAAAAACAGGATCACAATTTGTCAATATCAAATGCAAGTTAAAAAAACAAAATTGACCCTTCAGTCGTCAAAATTAAGCTCTAGTTCATTTTTCTATTTTTTTATTTTTTTTTTTGGTTAATAGCCACCCTAACACTTGAGGGACGTGAACTAGTAAAATAGAGAATCTCCTGGAAATATTTGTAAATACAAAACATAACAACATTCTTTTACAATAAGACTGAACTTAAAAGGATAAACTTTAACACGCAATAAAATGACGAGCACCAAAATCAACAAATAGACCACTAATAGACACTCTTGAGAAAGGATTGGCTTAAAAGATAACCTGAGTGTGCGCCAACACACGAACGACAGATGCATATTTCTTCAGTTTATCCAGCTGTGCCTGGATATCTTTCTTCCCCTCATCAGTCTCCAATCTTGCTGAGTATTTGGTGAAGGCTTTCTTCTTTGACTTGCACCAGTTTTTGTAGAACCTCCTCTTCACCTCCTCACTCAGATGTTGAGCCCAGACAGTGTTCAAGCACCGAAGGCCACGAGGGGTCTTCACATACCCAACCACGCCAACAATGACCATTGGTGGTGTTTCAATTACTGTAACGGCTTCGCATGTTTCCTTCTTGTGAAGCTCTGAAATCATTAATTGCAAATTGTTCAATTTATCAGCCACCAGTGAAAAACTTATTATCATTTATGTAAAATATAATAAAAGGGACGGATTTTGATAGCCTTGTGAGTCTACAAGAGATTATAAGTGAACAAAAAGGACAAAGCAGTAGATACATAAGTTGGTACAGGATGTTTGAGAAGCTAATCTTCAAAGGATTATTAAAGGAATCTGAAAGTTGGTAGAAAAGATCATTGTAGCAAATTCTGATTCATCACAACAATCAACAGATTATTCTACAATGTAAAGCGGGAGGAATTTGAATTAGAAAGTAGCTGCTGGTAGTGTTCTCGGGAAAGGGCAGTGTTCCTAAAAGGATAGAAGCAAATAGCTTATGATATGTGACAAGTAAATTTAACAGCCAATTGTGCTTAATATCTAAACAAATTCACAATGTTTATTCGAGTAAGCCCACTCTAAAAATAAGGCCATTAGACAGGCATATTTTCAAAATATTTATGAAACAAAATTTACTCGATCCAGGTTTCTCGACTTCTCTGACAATGTGGGTCATGCCAGCCTTGTAACCCAAGAAAGCAGTCAGCTTGCAGGGCTTGGTTGGATCATCCTTCGGGAAAGCCTTAACTGCAGTTATAAGAATCATATTAAAACCACTATATATGATAGCAAAACCACATTACAGGAACTAAACCCAAATACACAGATAATAACAATCCAGTGCAAATTGTGAGGTCAGTAGAAAAATCAATTGCACAGAAAATGCTTAATATAACACCATCAACACACAAATACATCGAAAAAAACATAAATCAAAGAAATAAAAACCCAAAAAACGTCAATAAGAAACACATTAGTAAAAAACTTATACGAACTCATACATTTCTTCTCATATCACGAATCAGTGCCACATTACGCGAAAAAGCAATTCCAAAGTTTATTCTTCAAAAAAAAAAAAACAAATAAAATCAGAGGGTTACCTTTTCCCCGGTGACGAGCAGCCCTCTTCCTCGGGAGGAAACCGAGAGACCCATGCCTTGGGTGCTCAAACTTCCTGTGAGACATTTCTCGCCTTCTTCACCACTGAAACAACAGACAGCATCTATTACATTCCATATAAAAAAAGATGGCATATATAGTAAATGACTTAGAGGTAGCTACAAAATTCAATTTTACATCAAATGAAAATTGAAAAATAAATAAGGAAACATAAAATACGAGCTAATTGGAAAACCAAAATGCGGCAAAATCACTGAACCCCTTCCAGAGTGTGTTCAACTGATAGAGATGAGAGTGGTACCTGTAGCTGCTAGGCTGCCAGAGAAGAAAAAACCCTACTTTCCTGAGTTCACTCAATTTATACCATTTGAACAACTATTGGGCTGGAATATTGGGTTTGAGACACTGCAAAGTTTGGGCCACATGATTCCTTCAAGCCCATTTAAAAACCCTTGATGAAACCAACTGGCCCATATGTAAGACCCACTTACACTTCCCGCACCATCAACCTCGAGCGCAAAAAATCTGGACAAGATTGTCACGGTGGAAATTGGTCTTCTCAGGATTATTTTATGGAAGTTGGCAAGTAATGTGTATATGGTAATGTTCATGTTAATGGCTGCAACTTGTGGATTGTGTGCAATGGTTACTACAAGCCCCATATGCCTAAACTGGAAAGATTAGATCCTGCAATTGGTATGGCATGAAAAAAAACAATTTTTCTTCAGCATCGGTTGATCCATGCACTTTATTCTATGAGCTCAAGAGTTGTTATTCATAGTTGTGTGGCGATTGTAATTTGTCTCATTGATTCACTTACATACTAAAATCAAGCATTCAAGATTTTTGTCATGTAACTCTCTTTTTAGAAAAGAGCTTAGCCAGTAGCTTCTGAGCTTTTAATTGGGGTCACATTTTTCAATTTCAATTACAAGTTACAATTTGTCTATTGATACTCGAAATAAATATTCATCATACTTTAAAGTGATTTCTTTCCATACAAAACTACAAAAGCGTTTGTCATTCATCAAAAGAATATTAATCAGAATATGAAGTCTAGAGCACTGTTGAGGATTTTATATATTTGTAATTTATCAGGACTAATCTCTTGTGGTGGCCTGCAATTCTCTCAAAAGTCATATATCCATGGGTATGAAATATGAATATCTCATATAATCCTAATGTGAATCATTAATTTTTCCTTGTTTTATCATTGTAACTTGCTCCTTATAAAATACAACCATAACCCATTTACAACTTCATGGAGAGAACCTGAAAATCAATATAACTTGAAAACGGTTAGTATGTGGCCTAAGAAAGTCTCATGTCTGAGTATTCGCATGTAAGCTTCTAACATCATTTTCTGAATATCTGGGATCCTTAATTCTGAGCATTATTGATGGAGACGAGCTTGCAATGGTTACAAATACGATCGACTTCGGGCGTTAATTTGATTATTTACGTTGCATTATTATTTACAACATTTAATTGAAATTATATTAACTTCATGATTAATTTAAGGTTTACTTCTAATATTAATTTTTTAAATTATATTATTTTTATATTTATATTTACAATATGGTTATGTATAATTTAATTTTAAATATTGTATTTTTTATTAAAGAAAAAATAAAAGCATAGCAAATATGTTATATGTTATATGTAAAAGGATATTTCGCTTTTGGCCCCATCACCCCCCTTTCATTTGTTTATGCCCAACTGTTTAGCAAAATCATAATTTATTGTTATGTCTCACCTTTTGAACTTTGCTCCAAAGTCTCACTCTCACCTAACAATTGAAGTCCACTATTTTAGACGAAAATGACATTTCATGTAATCAAGTACCATTATTTATTGCATTCAGTGCTTTTATTAATCTCAACTTTATTCTTTCACATCATATCTCTCCGTGTTCCTTTGCCTCTGTCAATTTCACTCATTTTTTTTTTTTATATATATCTACAGCCAATCAGCCATTCATGCATACTTCAGATTTCTTTTATTTTAATTTCTTTTTTCATTTGCAACAGAATTCTCAATTTTGTCTGAGAAAACGAGGAAAAAATAAAATGAATTGATTTAATTCCGGAAAAATCGGTCTGATAGGTAGTTTTTGTTTTGTTTTGTGTGTTTTGATGGCGTCGTGGAGGGTGATAGCATCAAGTTCACCGCCCAATCCGGATCTTCCACGTAAGCATACAACCTCCCCTTAAATCTCCACTACGATTAGAGCCGGCGGGTTTTCCATGGATGATATACTCCGCAACATTTACTCCGATTCCGATGCATTCGCTCAGGAGAACAACGCCGGTGACGGTGCCGGAGGAGGTGAAGAATCGGCCGCAGACGGTAGCGGCGAGGGAATGGGGAACGCGAACGGGAGCAAGACGGTGGACGAGATGTGGAGTGAAATTGTGAGCGGCAGCGCGGAGCCGAGGATGACTCTGGAGGATTTCCTGGCTAAGGCGGGGGCGGGGGACGAGGAGGATGCTAGGGTTCCGGAGGCGGAGGCGACGGTGGGGCCGGCGGTGTCCGGCGTCTTTGGGATGGACGCGGTCGTGATGAATCCCGCGGCGGCGGCCGTTCAATTTGCGCCTCCGCCGGCGATGTCCGTTCAAAACGGATTCGGCGTGGAGTTTGGGAGCGGGAGGGGTAGGAGGAGGGTGGCGGTGGAGGAGGCGCCGCTGGACAAGGCCACGCAGCAAAAGCAGAGGCGGATGATTAAGAACAGGGAATCTGCCGCTAGATCCAGGGAGCGAAAGCAGGTATTCTGCTTTTTGCTTTTTTTTCTTCTTTATTTTATTTACTACGATTTTTGTCTGGGTATAAGGAAATTGCGCTTATTTGTGTTTCCTGTTCAAAGGCCTACACGGTTGAGTTGGAGTCTTTGGTGACGCACCTCGAAGAAGAAAATGCTAGGCTTTTAAAAGAAGAGGTATGTATGGCTCCATTTTATTAATATGAAATTATATTAAAAACTTGGTTTAAACTATATGTACCAGTACTACTCAGGCTAGCATTTGAAGTCTCCTGAATGAAGTGGTATTTTTGGACAATTGTTTTTTTGCATAAATAAATAATATTGTGGTGGAAAGAAAACATCTTCACTCTTATGAAAGAAAACTGTGGTTCATGCCATCAAATCAAATTAATAGAAGGTGGACACTCGATAAATGAGGATTGTATAGATCAACACTTAAGAAATTTATACTTTTGAGGTGAAAAGAGGAGTGATGAATGCAAGCTACTTTATTGCGATTTTTCTTTTATTGTATCATATTCAAAACGGTTCTCAATAAACTTATATTCCCTTACAGGATGAATTGAACAAGAAGAGATACAAACAGGTATATACATCTCCTAATGTTTTCTTTTCCTTTGTCCGAATTTTCCTATATTCAGCCTTCAGCATGCATCTCAATTGTTTGTATTGTGATTGATTGCTCCTCTCTGTGTACATCTCTATGCTCTGCTTGCACTATTGACATTTATCTTTCAAATGCAAAGGCTTTTTATTTGGGCTCATGCTTTTTCTCCCTCACGTTTGGTATAATTTCATCGCATGATTGTTTATTTGACACAAAATACCAGCTACAGTTTTGGATTCATGTTTGTGCCTTGAACATCCAATGACCAAGGTGTTATTTTGCTGTAAGCTTGTATATACTTACATTGTAAATTGGTGTGCAGTCAACTTATGTCTCTTTTGAATTAGCATCACCTGCAAACAAAATTAGCCTAAAACATGAATTTTAGTTTGTACACTAAGTCACCAACTGCTCGCCACTCGCTAGTTAGAAACATTTACTTTATAAATTTATTCGCATCATACCCAGTTGCGCCTTTATGTTCCAATAGTTAACTGTATTTACCTCCCAATTGAAATGATCAAACCACCCTTTACATTTCTCAGAATTGCAAATAGCCCGCCACTATGTTTATCATTTGCAATATCATACTGAACTACCCATGTAGCTAAAAATATCAATGTAGCTAATGGTACTAAGATTTTAGACTTTAGAGGCTATGTAAACATGACTGGAGTTTTATCTTCATTTTGTTTCTCTTTTCTGGTCTTCATTCCTTTTAGGTGGCTTAACCTAATATCGGTGTTTCTCTTAATGTATGCTTTTGGATAACAGTGACCGGTCTTGACAAGTGAATCACTGGATTGATTCCTGTTTTACTTTTGTTGTATCCTCGCTTATCGTGCATTTCAAACCTAAAATTAAATATTTGCTTGTCTAAAAAAATTGCAGCTCATTGAGAACCTAATTCCGCTCGTGGAAAAGAGAAGGCCCCCGAAGGTTTTGAGGAGAGTGCATTCCATGGAGTGGTAGGAGGTTTTCTAGTCAATGGGCTGATGATAAGGTAGAAAGGCTAATACAGAAACTAGTTATTTTGTCCAGCAAATGGGAGCCTTAGTAATGTCGCAGGAGGACATTCCGGCAAGGGATCTACAGATGGACATTATTTTCTTATTTTGATATTCATTTTGTTGGGGGATTGAGAGATGCAGTTTGAGATTTCAAACTCAAAAGAACTGAACTCGTCTGCAGGCAGGTTGAGAAAACATATTTATTTATATATCTGTAGTTAATTCCAGTAGCAAGGTTTTTGTTGATAGCCATGTGTTTCACATTGTTTCATAAAATTCAATATTTTCTAAATTTTTATCTACAGTAATTCATCGGTCATCTTTTGAACGAAAACTAATAAATATTAGGAGTTGGTTGAGATGAATGTAGAGTTATGGTTGAGATCGACATCTTTATTTCTAATGTTGCTAATATTTTATTGTTAAATCACTCACATTCAGACATCTATACATATATGTGTATCTAATAGTAAAAATTTCAGTGTCAACGTGCCCACCTCAATAGTATCGAATTTGTCCTACTTCATAACAAATTCTGCTTGTGGTTTTGATAATTTGTAGTAGTGATTTGATTGTTCTGATGATGGTGTCATTTTCTCATGATTAATGATTTTGTTCACCCTGTCCTGTCTCCCACATGGTGGTTTTTAACCACGTCACCAGATTAGAGGGACAAATAAAGCAGCGCAGCCTAATTAATAGCGAACGCATATAATTGCTCCCACAAAGAGCTGCGTCCAAACATAATCCATAAAGTACTTCAGAATAAATAATTAAATATCCATATATTATATATACCTTGGACCCAAACAATGATCAATAAATTTATAGAATAAATAAACAAATGATCAGTTTTAACCCACACAGGAATGTCATGCACCAGTATATGTTTTTCTTAATAAAAATTATATTTTCTATCTCGTCACACGCGATTTCATTTTTCGTTTCCTTCAGTAGTAAATTACAGTGTTCACAGTACAAGTACAAGTACAAGTTGCAAGAAATGCAGCAGATAAGTTTGTGTTGTCATCATGTTTCTTGAAAATGTTGTAGCCGCTTCGTGTTTTGAGGTCCATAGTTGAAATCCATTAAAAAAAAAAGACCTGCGAAATACTGCAACAAACAGGGACGTAAATTCGATGCACGGGAGCCATTCTTACACGAAACACTAAAGAAAGGTAAAAAAACGAATATCAGCAACAATCTGTCAAATTTCAAAACCAGAAAGACGCTCAGGTGACAAAAAAAAAAAAAAAATCGAATGATTGAAGCAAAATTATGGCAGAAAGTGATCAGCTAAAGTATATTAAGTCTTCAGACCATCCGAGCAAAGATCCCTAATCACTGGACAATTTCATCCAAGTAAAAGTTCAAAAATCAATGCATTATGAAGAAGAAAATGAAAATTTACTATTCCAGAAATGTGGAACATAGCTCATGCACTCATAAGCAGAGAATATATTCTCTGTCGTGTTTGGATATGGTATAAACAAGAACACATTGCCTCAACATGTCAGTGTATGAGAAAATCCAAAACTATAGAAAAAGGCAACTACACTAACCTTGCCCCCATTAAAAAAAATGCAAATAGACAATGTGATAGATAATTAGTTGCTAGAACTGCAAAAGCTTAGAACGGTTTTATAACTGAAATTGATATTAAGAATTGAAAACCAATGAAATAAGGAGTATCTAGAAGCTTTCACCTGATCATGAGGATAATCTTCTAAAAAACCTCAAGGCACACAGAAGCTAAACAAAAAGATGAGCTATACACTTGAAAAAGTTATGAGGAAATAATGCACATCATCAGAATCTCAATAACGTGTGACATACTTCAAAACAAAAAGATGTTAGATGCACTTAACATTAAAGGTAATTTAGGATACTTTACTAGTCACTCCCACTGACTACTTAGTTTAGCATACAATCATGTCATTTGGAACAACCAAAAATTCATGCTAAGAACTCGCATGTCAATCCATTTAAAAGGAAAAACAAACAATACATAACTGTCGAAAGACTTGTTTTTATACACCTGCTCCTCATGGAAAAATCATGCATATCAAAATACATTCGTATTAACAGATTAATTAAAAACTGGAATACGTCAATCCTGAAGACCTCATGCCTAATTCAACAACCAGAACCATACAACAAAACACACATTGATTTTACAANAAGGTACAGTAACACTTAGTTTTACGAAAAATAAAATTAATTACCAGTAGAGAAAAATCTGGCTCCATCCACTTCTTCACTTAAATAAGCTTTGTAAAAAAAGGATATTTGCATCATGGTTCAGTACCCTTCCCCAACAACTCGATACCCACTGCTCGGCAATTCATGACCTTTCTAAACGTCTCCCTCAGCTTACGCTCCAAAGGATCGAGCCCACTCTTGCAAACTTCGCAAACACCCGACAGCTCACTCACATTCTCATTCACCTCATTCTTAATCTCCTCCAGCAACGGAAACTGTGCTGCATCCATCAAATCCGTCATTCGGTGCACCGACTTTTCGATCCGATAAATCTCCCTCAACAGCCCACACGCATTACGCCTCTCCCTCTTCTTCGACTCGTCCAAAACCCGGCTTTGGATCACCAAAAGCGGCGCGCTCCAAGAAAACTGCCTCGGGATCGCGAAATGAACCTGCACTCCTCGATCCTGACAGGGGACAGCCGCCACAAGAACCCACAGAACAAACATTAGAACAAAACTCATCGAGAAAATGAGTACAGCTAAGCCGTTAGTGGCCGACACTTCGTTTGCTCGTGGGGGCAATAAATTATACGCAATCGACTGAAGCTGCTTGGAAGCCGACCAATTGTGGGACACGCTCCAAGAAAGTGACCTGGCATGGCCAGACGACGGGCCCCGCTGCTGATGTGGCTCTTTCCCCTTGCGGCCGAACGAACGGTTTCGGCCCGAGAAAACCGGGCCCCCGTCTTTCTCGTCTAGCATTAGAAGGGCCAAGTCCATGAGGGCTTTCCGGGCCCGCCGGAATTGGCCTTCGCCGGAAGTCTTCTTTTGGGAGTCGAGCGCGCAAACGATGATTTCGAGATTCTTTTGCCAGAGGCGGATGGTCTCGACCGCGTCTCGAGCTGCGTTGAAGACATCCATGGCTTTTATCGCGCGTTCGAAGTAGTCGGATGCCAGCCTGTCGGCGGGGGGTTTCGAGAGGAGGGATTTGTTTTGGGACAGTATGGAAGTGAAATCCTCCAGACAGGCGGTGAATGCATCGAGAAGCTTGTGTATCCAGGAAATCGAGAGGAGTTCGTCGGAGTTTGCTTTGGATAGGTCGTTGAAACGGGAGAGGATTTGGTTTTGGAAGGAGTCGAGGTTTTGGATGTTTGAATCGTGGGGAGTTTCAGAGTGGACCTGATCGGCACGGATGGTTAGGATCGAGCGGCGGAAGGAGGCGAAAGGGATTGGGCCGTGGCCGTCGGATGAAGGCATTGTTCAAGCCAGAATGGATTTATCCAGAAATCCTATGTGACAAAAAATAAATAAATAAAAGGAAAGGAAGAATAAATAAGTTTTAGGATTGGATGAAACTTTAATTGGAATCGGTTACTAGATATTGAAAGGGGGTAACTTTGAAATCTTGGAACCAATACTCAACTAAATCCGGTTGTGTGACTGGGAAAATATGAAATCTTGTTAAGGCAAGCAGGCTTCATTGAGAATTCACATAATACAGTTTCGAAAGCATATAATTTTGACTTAAAATTAACACCTCAAAAATACAGTTTCCAAAGCATATGATTTTGACTTAGATTAACATCTCAAAGCAAATACAATCCACAAGCCATTCGTTCATAAAACATGTGAAAAACAAACAAATGTTAGAGACCCAAATAAATTTAGTTGATAAATCATCAAATCTCACGATCAAGGTCGAAACTTTCCGAATGTCACCGGACAGGAAAAGAAAAGGAAAAATCAGTCTGATTAAAAAAAAATACCAATTTTGGAACAAGAATCGAAACCCAGATCAAGAACTATCTCAAAACAGATCTTTACGAAGGCCCAAGTAAAAATAAACAAAAAATAATGTTTGGCAAAATTCCAATGAACAGGATGGGATTGCACGAAGGTACCTTGATGCGCTTACGGTTATACAAATGCCCGCCTGAAGAAAAACAATCACTGGAAACGTAAAGATGGAAAATTTGAAGGAAAGTGGATTTTCGAAACCCTAGCGCAGGACATGTAGACCCTGCACACAATGAAAGGGGGAAACTGAAACAAAAATTGACGCAAGGAAAAATTAAAATGGTCAAAGGAACAGAAAAAGACAAGTGTATTCATATTGGTGATTGTCCTAGTAAAGTCCGAATAAATTATTACTTTTATTTCTTTATTTCGTTTTTGTAAGGACAATACAGTAAACTACACAAAAAATAGCACTCTCGAATTTGAGTCCTACAGAAAATAAGTGAAGAATCATTATTAAAAAAAAATACACAAAAAATAATAGTAATAATACATGAGATTGAAGGCTCATATAGGAAAAATTAATGGGAAGAATTTTTATATGGTATCCAACATCTTATTTTCGCTTTTGGCACATAAAATTTCACTTAATCAATTCTTGTGCCAACATAAAATTAAGAAAAAAAATATTGAAAATTTGCTCGCTTTCTCACAAAAATGGAAGCAATATCTACCGAGGCGTGTGGAGATTGACTTCGGAAAAAGTCTGGTTCCAGCATGGGAATTTGCTATTGAGAGGGAGTAGTAGAGGAAAGTCAGATGCCAACAACTTTCTTCTCTGCTTGATCTCTCGAGCTGATCCGACACCAAGTCGGCCGCACCTCTAAGGACTCAATATGAAAGCTCAATTACATCGACCCGAATCTAACCCAATCTTGTAAGACCTTCTGTTACGAGTGAGCATCGGCCCCGGGAATCCCTTGCTTTTGGCTACGGTCTTTTTCTCCCTCTAAACAAATAATGAACAAAGACTACTGGAACGTCATGACAGTAATACCACGACAGATATACTTACCGACAAGAGAGAGCGAGACTGGCCAACCTAAGAGAGATAACGCAAGATTGACTCTCCCCTATCATTTGTTGGCCAGAAGAAAGTTTGGATTTCCCACGGTACAACCGAAGCGAAGCGAAGCGAAGTTCAATCAAAGATTCCACCACAACTGAAACTGAATCTGGATCAGGATCCGGGAAGAAGAAATGGCTAATTCAACCGAAGAGAAAGCAATAAATTGAAGGCTTATATGA